CAAATCGTTCCAGAGCGCTTGCAAGATTGTAGCCTCAGAAAATTCTGGCAGCGAGACAGGCACTACGGCCAGCAGAGAACAATGTAGACAAATAGACAAAGCAGTACTACATTCAATAACACAATGATCCCCAGAAGAATAAGACGAGGAGACAAAGCTGTCCCCACAAGAATAATATATCATGGAATAATGTCTAACGATCTCTACTAACAGACGTCATGAAAAAGAAACACAAAACGAAGAAATATGATATGAAGGAATGAATTAATTAATGTATGAATAAATCCAAACAATGCAATATATTCCCCCTCAGAACAAGGGTAGACTAGTCAGTACAACAGCAGCAGTACAATAGTCACAGCTCTGAACAGTGCCAGATATGTCACTGGAACAACTACAGAACTAGGTCGATACAACGAGTTTAGTATCGAGTACAGTTTGAGTACTTGCTCTTGGTATATGAAATCTTAATGCTTAGTCTGCAAATTATAATGAGACTAATGTGATTTATAATAACAATGATGATGTTAATTATAATAGAATCTACTAATAATTGAGACAACATCTCTAATAATAATAATAATAATAATAATAATAATAATAATAATAATAATAATAATAATAATAATAATAATAATAATAATAATAATAATAATAATAATAATGATATCTCCAGAGAAACTCGTTATGATGATTTTTTCAGCAATATTTCCCGTATGAAAAGATAACTTAACTAAATCTTTTTCTTCACAGTCTCAATACATTTGGATCACCTCGAAAGTCAGAATTTTATATTTGTCAGGTTCAAAACAGTTACGTAATTTTTTAAAGACATCTAAGGAAAGGATTCTTGAAAAATAACCACGGCTATAGCAAATACAGCACACTACAAAATGGTTCATTTATCTATTTGTTATAGTGATATTAAAAACAAACAAACAAACAAAAAGAAAAATACACAAAAGGAAAATAACAATAGAAACGTCGTCAAAAGTCAAGGATGCAAAACCTATATTTTTGCATGTTTGATATTATTCCTAGAGAGCGATGTATCTCGTACACAAAAGGAAAAAGCAACGATTTTTCTAAAACATCAAAACAAAACCTGTTCATCTGCGTATATGGCCATGTCAATAAAATTGAGCTTTGATTGTTAATTATACCTATTTCTTAAGATAGAGCAAGCAATAGACAGACAGGGGGGAGAGAGAGAGAGAGAGAGAGAGAGAGAGAGAGAGAGAGAGAGAGAGAGAGAGAGAAAGAGAGAGAGAGAGAGAGAGAGAGAGAGAAGGGGGGGGGGGTAGAAGGAAGGGGGGGGGTGAGGGTGAGAACGAGCCAACATGCAGTGAAGAAGGAATGTCTACCTGTATCGACATCGAATCGATACCTGCTGCCTAGATCAACTCAAAATCCACACATAACTAACAATAGGCACAACAATATGGCAGAAAAGGACTTATTAAACAAAAGGGATCATTTACTACGACGTGTGGTCTGCGCCTTTTCGGCGTGCAGCCCGACTCGGATTACGATAATCCCTCCTAGCCCTGGGGCAGAGAGGCGAAGTTCCGGTTGCAGTACGGTCAGCTAAACCCGAGCGAGATAATCCCTCGAGCGCAGGTTCGGAGTGGGAGTGACCATTGTCCACTAGCTGAGGGTAACCCCGATTCCATTCAAGCCCTGATTTGAGCCAAACTATTAGTAAATAACCAAGATGTCAGCTCTTTTTCATGCTCATATCTCAGAAAAACTCTCCATGAACGAGACAGGGGGTAACAAGTGCTATAGACCCTTGGCATAAGACTGCTGATTGTACACATAGTTGTTAGTATTGTGCTCTTTTGAGTGATATATGAAAATGTAAAGACTCCATGATATGTAGGTAAAATTTACTGATTCGTTTGATTTTTAAGTCTTGAATTTCGACCCTTTGATTGATGCCACAGCCAATTTATTATGTAAATAGAGATTTATTATCTACTCTTGAAATTGAGCCTACAACTGTTCCAATATACAACAAAGGATCTTCAGTTGCAACAAATCATCTTGCTGGATGTATCCAAGGCTGGATTAGTAGAACGCACGAAAAAGGTGACTCATGGTCGACCCACATCTCATCCACATACTCCCCGTAAAAAATACAAAACAAACGCATGACGACGGACGCATTCTCCAAAATCAGTCAGCTGTTAAAAGAGTAGCCCTTCCCTTTTCTTGTGACACCCATACCTGAGGCTCATCATCTGTCACTGTTTTCCGGTTTCCGACATTGTTCTAATCACTCAGGATTGAATTAATTACACTTTACCCTTGTACGACTTGACCGAGCTGCTATTTTTGCAGTAATGTGTGGTGTAACCTTGCTCTGCCCCGTGCGAACTAAATACGATTAGCGCCAGCCAGTCTATTCTTGACTTAGTGAACTCAAAGACAGCTTTCTTTGGCGGTCACACGGTGGCAGAACTGGCCAACCCATCCCACTTCAAGGTGTATTATTACATCATTATCTCCGTTGGTTTTGTTATTGTTCAATTATCAGTATCATTATCATGTTTTTGTAATGCATATTTATATTACAAATGTGTATGTATGTGAGTGTGTATATACATATTATACATACGTACACACAATGTGAAATTGATATTGTATTCGTTCAACAAGGTTCAACACCCTTTGCAACTTTATAAGGTTAATAAAGAGGAGACACCTCTGAATTAAACACCCATCTCCGAATGGACCAATGGAAATTGGACGATACACCTAAAATGCCTGACCAAAGTACACAACTTTGGACTGATATGAGCCTCGAATCCCTGAACCTGCAATTTCACCATTACTGGTCCCGTAGCCTGACCACTAGAATATTAACGCCATAGTATATCCAGAGAGGGTTTACAGTAATATTACTGTAAACTCTCTGGTATATCACGTACATGTATTCAAAGAAATCATCAGAGGTGATCAAGGTCGATTAACCTTATTATTATTATTATCAAAAGAGGTTCACGGCGACGACAGTAAAAAAAGGACATATTTTAAACAAATATAAACATAATAATATATAAAAAGAACCAACCCAGTCGAAATTCCATAAAGAAAGCCGTGATGGATCGTTGCACTGTCTTACCATGTACTAACAAATGTTCTACAAACTTCAAGATCCCAAAATAAACCCGGGACTCTAGTAAATGTCGTGCGCACAACGAGCGGTCAGATTCTGGTGTCCACTACAAGCGGCCAGGGACCGCTGCACGGACATGGCGCCTGGGAGGTTGTTGGCGTGAATAAACAATGAGGCAAGTCTCTCTCTCTCTCTCTCTCTCTCTCTCTCTCTCTCTCTCTCTCTCTCTCTCTCTCTCTCTCTCTCTCTCTCTCTCTCTCTCTCTGTGTGTGTGTGTGTGTTTGTCTCTCTCTCTGTGCCGTCGTTAACTCATATGTGTTGTGATCTTGGGCCGACTTCGATCTATTTTTCTATGTAATGTTATCCCCCTTTCAAAGTAAAATAATATATATTTTTCAAGACATTGACCAATTTTAGGAATACTTATTATAAAACAATAAATCTTTATTTATTTGTTTATTTGATTATTTATAAATTTTAATTTCTGAAATTATTTACTTTTTTAAATTTTATTTATTTATTCATTTATTTGCTTTTCTATTTAAATTTTTTTAAAATTACAATTGCCATTATTATTATTATATATATATGTAATTTTAAAAAAATATATTTGGAAGGGGGGGGGGGGTGCACCGCGTTGGTTTTCTTATGAGACGCGTCTACTTATTTGAAAAAATAAATGAGTGCGGAACTTGCCTCTCCTAACACCTAACACCACCTTCAACCTGTCACATTTTTTGCCCAACACACACCGGTCTGGCACAACCGTGGACAGCCCTCTGGCGTGGAAAGAGTTAATGAATGTCTCCTTATGCTAGTCACGGGTTTACCTTCCGGCCTGCTCCGCGGTTTAATCACTGTATCATTGATGTAGGCGTGGTCTGTACGATGACAAGGTAAGCTTTGGAGGTCGTAACCGTGATGTTGTCGTTTATGGAAGACCAACAAAGTAACGAGAACCACCTCCTCTCCCCCCCAAAAAAGAAAAAAAAACCCTAGGAATTTGCCCTTTTTCAGGCTGTTACTGTCAGATGAATACGACTGCTGCTGCTGCTGCTGCTGCTGCTGCTGCTGCTGCTGCTGCTGCTGCTGCTACTACTACTACTACTACTACTACAACTGCCTCACCAGAGCACCCGCCAGCCACCTACGACCACATTTCTGAGCAATTATGAGATTGCAAATTATTTTAACAATTATGTGAACTTAAGTATCAATCAGTCAATCTTCCATCCAACTATATACAACAACAAGACACGCATGCGCAACGAACGCCGTTGAAGCGACATTCGCGTGTGTGGGACAAACAGACAAAGTGTATACAGCTGCAAACACTCAACACACTTCTCAGTAAAGCAACAACTCACCCCGCCCCCCACCCCTTCCCAAAAAGTCAAAAAATAAACAGCTGCACCAAAAGAAACAACAACAACAAAAACAACGACCACTGCGACGACAATAACGACACAACAACAACAACAACAACAACATTAGAAGCAGCAGCAGCAGTAACAGCAACAGCAACAACAAAAACAAATAAATCAGAATTAAAATATGTCGTCTATAAGAAAAACAATAGGCCTCATAATAATTCTTTTCTTAGTTTTGTATAATGAAGACCCTTTAACCGCCTTTTCCAAACAGAAACCACCAACACAAGCAGCTCCTGTCCATCCCAGTCCCCAAACACTCTTTTTTATCGCCTACTGCAAAACAAAGGCAACCGAATATAATTTTGAACAAAGATAAAGGCAAAAATGATGGGAGGGAATGGTGTGGAAGAGACTGTGGTTTTATGGATGTCCTTCAAGAAAATTAGTGTGGATTTGAACCCAATAAAAGCAATAAAATTATTTATTTCAAATGTCATCAAGCTTACCTGAGACCATTGAGGACCTCCTGCAGTCTGAGACCTGGTCAGAGGAAGAGAAAAAGAGTAAAAGGTCACGATAAAAACATCGTAAATGGACACACAAACGTTACAATTTAAATGGCAAAATGACAGGGAGCCTCGCTTTCAAATTTCAGGTTTTAAAATTCGGATAAAGGAAAAGTAACAAAACGGTATCACTTTTATTTTGTGACATCTGGTTTATGGTGTTTTGAAGTGTGGGTAGAGTTGAAAATGGAGAGTGGGGTAGGGACGGGTGAAGGGGGAGTTATTAAAAATTTGTTTAACAAGAACAAAGACTCCAGGGAAATTTAATATAATTTTCATCCTGATCTCCATCAGTCGTAGTATTTAGTTTCTGGATTACTGTAAGCAAAGAAGTCGCGAAATATTTTCTAAGCTGGTATCCAGAATCAAAATGAAGTCCTTTTCTATGAAGTATTGCGTCACTGTTTGGGTTTGTGTGTTGGGTCTGTATTTATTTATTTATTTATTCATTTATTTCCTTTTTCGTGGGGG